AGGAAAAAAAACCTGTGGAAATGTGGAAAACAAATGTCTGTAGCCATTCCAAAAGAGGATGAAAACGTTTTGTACCACCTTTGAGTCTCTAAGTGTGCGATTCCCATGAGAGCTGTTGACTGATATTCAACTACTGACATTACCATGCACTGTCAATTAAAGTGGTACTCCACTGACTGGGTGACACCCCCTTCATAACATTAGAAATTTGAGCGAACCCTTTGACTTAATTTTGTATTTAACACAGATAATAGAGGTTTGCAAGCTTATGCTAATGTTAGCAATTACTCCCACTAACATACTTTAATGTTATTGATTGGGTCAAACTAGTGCTGGCAGCCTCTCATAGATCCAGATGTGAGGATGACAAATGACCAGCTTGACAAGCATCATTGTAGCACTCTGTACATTACTTGCTGATTGACTTATGCTGCCTTCAAATGAGGCCGTGTTTACTGTGTTTAACAGAAGGGTCGACATGAACGACCTCAGAATATCCTGAAAGCTCAGAGTGCACGAGTTGTGATGCGTTTGCTGTCATTTTCAGAAATGGCCAAAGCCATGGAAGTACATTTTTCACAGGATGGTTAATATATTGTGATGCAGAGTCCATTAGAAAGTACTGAAATGACTGATATGGTCATTAGAAACAGCTAACAATCTTAGATCAGACTCTGGTGTCCCAAAAGTAATATTTCAACTATGTGAGTGTAGACATTGGGGCAAACAAATTACAGTATTGACACTGTCATTTGAAACCAAATGTTTCTCTAACTTTAATGCAGGTGACGCTATAAATGTATTTCTTCATTTTGATTAGTAAGCATTAACCTAATAAATAGAAACATTTAAAAAATCCCATCACATAACGAAATGACAAAGCAAAATGAAAATGTATATGTTCTCATCATGTGTGATTGATTTTTGTTGAATTAGAGAGCTCAAAAAATCAACCCTAACTATTTACATGAAAATGTTGATTGTTTTATCTTTTTAAGAATTATCATGTGCTGTCTCCACATCCACAAACTACAACGATTGACTCCATTGCACAGCACTTTCTGCAGCAGGACTTTCATATGAGGTTCATCACAAATTCAAAGTTTTAGAATGCATTAACAGGCGTACACATTCTGCTTCTGTCACAGCTGTATAAGCGCAGGCACTTTCAGCGTGAGTGGTCACGATGGGATATATACCTCCAACCAGGACAGTTGGCCTGCTTGGACCTTTGAGCAACACACAGTGACATCTGCATTTCACATTTGGCCTTCCAGACTTCCAGACCAAAACATATTCAAATCAAATGATGTAGTTTGCCTTGTCCTGGAGTTCACCTCACTTGCAGTTTTCAGTCCGGCCTGGCTCGTTGCAGGTCAGCGGCAGTGACTTGGTGCAGGAATGCCAGTCATGTGCTCACAGTCAGCAGCTAGTGTTAATGGCTGTTATTTACAAATCAAACAGGAGAAAGCTGCTGTGGGAGTGACAGGGCAAAATGTCATGTTCTGCATTTATCAAGCTTGCACAGCTTGGAGGAAAAACAATCACCAGACAAGAAAACAGTGATACACGGGAAGCAATTTGTGTAAACATCGGCTTCAATATTATGGCTGTTCTGAAGACTAATGTGAAAATATTATATGTCTTAGGATAATGACAATGTGCTCAACAGCTCTGAGCAATTAAACAAAAGTTGAAATCAGAGCTTTGACAGTGGCGATGCATTTCACAGTGAACCTTTTGTTTGGGAGAAGAAATGGTGCAGGCTTACAGCATTTTTAAAAATGTGTTGTGGTCCAGTGTGTGAGATTTAGGTGAAAGGAATTTTTGGCAGAAATTGAATATAAAATAATCCTAGTGATGTTTTCACTGGTGTGTTTCATCTAAAATGTATGAATAGTTGTTTTCTTTACCACAGAGTGGAGTCTTTATATCTAAAAACTTTATATTTACACGGAGGGGGGTCCTCCCTGCGGAGGCCGCCATGTTTTTAATGTAGTCCAAACTGGACAAACTAAAACCTTCTGCGTTTTCATGACAAATGAAGTTCACCACAGGTTCTCTTTCATGTTTGGAAAGGTAGGGTGAAATGAGGAGTATTCAGCTGCAACATGACAGTCCACCTCTAGATGTCACTAAATTCTACACACTGAACCTTTAAGAGCCAAACATTTCCCTCAGTCGTTAGCAGAGGTCAAAACAAAGCTAAATGAATGGTAATGTTGCTACACACCTGCTTAACAAGAAACTTTTATCATATCATCTTTGTAAGATCATAAAATGTTGCTGCCCCCGGCTAAATGTTATTTTTCTTTACTCTTCGATCTCCTCTTGACACAAAGAATTACAGTGTAATACTGTTCTGCAATGGCTCTTGCTCAGGGGTCAGAGCAGGTTGACCTTCAATCCCAGTCTTCCCCATTCCACATGCCAAAGTGTCCTTGGGCAAGATACTCAACCCCGAATTCGCTGACCGCTGTGCCATTGTCGTAGATGCACTCTGTGAATGTGTGTGTGAATAGGTGAATGTAAAACTGTATTGTAAAGCGCTTTAAGTGGTCATCAAGACTAGAAAAGTGCTATATAAATTCAAACCATTTACCATTTATGTACTTAAAGGGATAGTTCACCCAAAAATGAAAGTTTACTCATTATCTACTAATCACT